CTGCTGATTTGGGTCAGAGTCACCCCTTTCAGCATTTGTTCACTGAGTTTCTGAGCGCCCCGTCAGCGTCAGACACTGTGGTAGTCCCTGAAGAAGGCTGTGAACAGGAGGCAGGTTCTGAGGGTCTGTCAGTGAAGACGGTGCACTCAGTGAAAAGGGGAGCTTCAGTGGAAGCAGCTTTCCTCCACCTACACCAAGGGAGCGCTGAACTCCTCTCCTTGTTGCATTTTGGTAGCTGAGACTCACCCCAACTGGCCACCACACCCAAATCCAGAGTTGAAGTGGGCTGCGGGTTTGGGTGGCCAAGTTTAGAGAGTGCACGCCCAAGGATGGGGGAACAGTGCTCTCTGTAGACCCAAAGGTGAGTGTAATCAGCGTTGGAGGCCACCACTTCCAGGGCTTTATTCTTCAGAATTCTGGCCAGAATTCCAGTCCTCACATATAGATAGCGAGGCAGCTACCGCGTGGATGGAAACGTTGCAGATTTTCTGAAACTGGTTAGAGACTCGATACCTTTCAAAACCAAAAGAAAAGTGGCCAGCACTGAGCCCTGCAGCCTTTCCGCCTCATTGCGACCTCTTTGTCTATTCAGGGACAGGCAAGGAAGACCACTTCCTCTACACATCAGATTGTGCTAAACAAACATTCCTGCGGTGTAACTACATCCATTTCCCCCACAACCAAAGCCTGGGGAGGCAGGAAGACTTTGGGCCACGCACAGTTACCCAGCCTGACACCAGAATTGCCTTCAAAGAGAAGAGAGGACTCTAGAAGGAACCACCCGCTGCGTCAGAACAGCTGCTCCAGTTATTTCAGTAAAAATCAAAGATGGAGAACCAGCAGTTAGCATAATGGGCACATCACTAGACTCCCACGTAGTCCACCGTGGTTTGAGTCACAGACCTGGTGGCTTAAAACTCATGCTAGGTGTGTGTGTGTGCCCAAGATCCTGGGAGGAGAATGGAGGAGAAGGGGTTGCAGCATGGCCATCCCACCTCGGGAGTGATCGCTCGCTTTCTGTCTCTCTGGTGAGCACACGCCCCCTATACCAAAAATCTCTTACAAAACAAAAATCAAAAATGGGTAAGTGGTTAGCAAAATCCCAGCTTCTTAAGGATCTGGGACATTGGAAGAAAAGAAAATGGTACCGATACATAAATTAAAAAATAAAAAATTGTCCCAAATCTGAATTCAAAGCTACTCAGAGTAGAAGCAAACAGGGAACTCGGCAAAAGTCTTTCTGCCCTGTGTCCTTTTCATTCACTAACCGGTGCCTCTTAGTAAGGCTGTAGGTAGAGGCGCTGCTACGCGCCCCGTGTGTGGTGAGCCAGACGCCCCTTCAGTGGGCCCACAGCTTGTGAGATCCAGCTAAATCTCCCGTAAACGTGTCTCCTGCTGAGTCGGGTCACGGCTCTAGAGTGGAACCTCGGCTTGTTCTGAAGTTTTTCCTCTTGAGGATCAAAGACATATGGAAAAATGAAAAAGGTCGATTGAGTTCTGGAGTAATGCCTGCCAAGGCCCTTATCAGGCTCTTGCAGCCCTCCAGGCAGTTCCCTCAGGGCCTCCTCCCCTGGCTCCAGAGACGGATAACCCCCGGCTTATTTCAGACCCTGGGCCCTGATGAATCGCATGCATCACTTTCCCTTCTGCGGCCACCCGAGTTCCTCTCAGCCCCGGGAGGGCCAACTTCGTGTCTCTGAGTGCCGGGAGCCCTGGCTGCCTTTCCCGCGGCGGTCAATGAACAGGCAGAGGTCTGCACAGACGTTTATTGACTCATCGGTGGCACCAACAGCACACTGGGCTTCACAGAAGACGGCCATGGGCAGACAGAGCCACCCACCACAGCCAGCCTGCTCGGGGCCTCTTGGGCTCCTTCGTTCCCTACAGACACTGACAGATGGGGCAGGACACAGGCCTGGACACGGGTCTCCTGCTCCGTTTCTCTGGCGCGTTCGGCAAGGGGGACGTGTACTTGGGCAGTGTGTCTAAGGCGGAGTCCCACATGTCACCATGGGACGACACACGTGTGAGCCGGCCGTGAATCGGTGGAGCCTCTGCCTTTACAGACGGCAGCCCGGCCCCGAGGGGAGCGCTGTCATCCATGCGGAGGGGAGGGGAGGGGAGGGGAGGGCAGGGGAGCCCAGTCTAGGGAGGGGGCGGGGTCGCAGCCACCTGCTGGGGCAGGGACCTGGTTGGAGGCAGGACCAGGGCCAGAGCCAAAGCCAGAAATCTGAGGAGCCGAGCCTGTTGCTCTAAGGCAGGTTCAGATGTGAGGAAGCCCCCTGGAACGTGAGGTGTGGCATGTTAGCACCTGGCCGCAGCGCAGTGTCCCTGTCACACTGTGCCGCACGTCAAAGCCAGGAGAACATCCAGGAAGCGTGAGGTCGGTGCTCTCCTTACACTACTTCCAGACCCAAGCCAAACTGACTCGGCTGACGACAGAGGACGCTGAGGGGCGCTGTCCGACACCAGAGGCTAATGGAGACTCAGTCTCACCCTCCCCAGACTGCACGGGTGCAGGAGAGGGCAGAGGGGAGGCAGCGGCTTACACTCAGGGGTGGGGGGCAACTGGCAAGCAGCTCCTACAGGCTCCGGCCAGCGGAGGCGGAGGCGACAGCAGCAGCTCTTCTTTTGCCCTGGGCCTGGCAGGCACCACTGGGCCTGGGCCGGACTCAGTGCGAGGACAGGGCTGCTGGGGCGGCGGGGCTCTTGGTGGGGCCAGGCTGGTGCAGGAGGGCCAGGGGCTGCTTTATCCAGCATGTGCTTCTGCCCCTCTGCCAGCAAAGCTATCCTGGGGCTGGAGTTAGCCGCCACAGGCAGGCCCAGACTTGGGCGACTTGGGCCACAGCACACTGCAGAGGTCCCAGCCAGCCCGCCCTCCCCAACCGATCTGAGGGGCCTCCCGGGATCACCCACATACTTTACACATCGGACCCCTTGGCCCCCGGCCCCTTTGTACCACGTGTTATTTGGAGTTGAGGGACTCCTGGTTTGAATTCCGTGTCACACAGAGTATCTCCAGGCCTGTCCCTAGGTACCAGTGGCCCAAGGCCAGGCGTCTGCTGGCTGGAGGCAAACCCTCTCTCTACCTCCACCTCCCTTAGAGATCTGTGCTTCTGTGACCAGGAGGGCTCCCAAAGCATCTGCGGGGTTAGCGGGACACAGGGCCAGCAGGTGGCCAGCAGACGGTCTGTGGCAGCAGGGAGGAAGTGAAGCAGAGGACAAGCCGGAACCCCAGAAATCAGCAGTCATGTGGACGGCGACATCCACACACACCCCACTCGGGGGGTGGGCAGGAGACGGGAGAACCCCAGAGGACCCAGGGGGTCACCTCGGCCAGGCCCCCCATGGGGACTGAACGGCCCTCACTGGGAGCCGGGGCTGTCCCCCTCGGTCAGCGTCTTGAAGTCCATGGAGAGCGCTTGCTCTTCCGCCTGCGGGGGGCGCTGCCAGTCGGCCCGGGTCAGGATGTAGAGCACCACGGCGCCGAAGCCGGCCAGCAGCAGGCCCAGCACGTTGGCCAGCACGCCCTCGGGCTTGAACGCGCTGTACTTGGCTCTGCGGGCCGGGGGAAGGGAGAGGCCACCCGAGGGTGACAGTTAGGCGCACCGCCTTGGACTCCCGGACCTTAGGGATGCCATGGGTGCTCCAACCAGCCCCCCCAAGACCTGGCTGAGCCCACTCGGAAAGCGAAGGTCCGGGAAGCGGCAGGCGGGCTCCACCCATTCCGCTCCGGAACACTCACCCGAGATGAAACAGCAGCGCCTCCTTCAGGCCCAGCAGGGCTGTGCCCACAGAGAGGAGGAAGATGGTGGCGCCGAAGAAGATGTGCTGCGGGCGGTAGCGACTGCGCAGAGGGAAGGACGCTCCGGGGACCAGGAAGAAGCTGAAGCCCACCAGCCACTGCAAGGAGAGGAAGCGGCTGAGCTGGGGGCTGCGCCGGCCCCACCCAAAGCAGGGGTGCTCGCGGCCCCCTTCCTGCTGCGTGTCCTCACCAGAGTGCTGGGGGAGGCGCCAGCCCTGTGGGGACAGTGCATCTGCGCATGGACGGCCACACGTGCATCCTTGCCCAAACGCACGTGCTAAGTCGGCCAGAGGGCACCCTGGCCGGTGAGATCCTGCAGCACCCGCCACAGGCCTGCGGTGCCTCTAAAGGTACTTACACACCGCTGTGGCCTTGGGGCCTGCGCCCTGGAACCGGGGCCCCCGTGGCACACCTATGGGTTGCAAAGCACCGCCTCCACCCCCCACCCTCACCCCAGCCCCATCCCACCCAGCCGGGAAGCGCTCACCTGCAGGAAGTAGAGGACAAAGACGAGGATCCCGCACCAGCTGTGCAGGCTGTACAGGTCGGCGTAGCCCTTCCTCTTGTGGTAGCCGAACACCGCCACTAGGGCAGACCCTCCGTGAGCACAGGGCCTGACAGGGTGGGGAAGGGAGGGGAGACAGCCCAGGGAAACTGCCCAGCCTGGGCTTGTGGGCTTAGTGACAAGCTCCATGGGGGCACCAGCGCCCCCCCAACCCCCTTTGGTCTGGGAGGGGCGGGGCTGGACATAACAGTCCTGGGCGGAGGCTCCAGTGGCCAAGCCACCGCTGCCCCAGCCTCAGAAGCAGGCCTGCCCAGGGACTCACCAACCAGGGCGATGATCAAGGCAAAGACGTGCAGCAGCCCGTGCAGGACCTTGGTGGTGCGCTTGGCCTCGTTCCTGAAGACTCGGTACACCAGCAGGGCTGGGGAGGGAGGGAGGGCGCCAAGCGCATGGGCCTCAGCTGCCTGGGGCAGCAAGGCCGCCTTAGCGGAAGGGAGGCGGAGAGGGCCGCCGGGAACCCAGCACAGGAAGGCCGAGAAGGGCAGTTCCTGGCACTCGCAGAGGACACCCTGGGCTGTGTGTGCCCATACCCCCCAGCCTCTGCACACCCACAGAGGCCTGGAGGGCAGGAGGGGCCGTGATTCCTGCCCCCACAGGAGGCAGCAATGGCGGTGACGTCCCTCAGCCCCCGTGTAAAGTAAGGCCCAGGCACCCCACCCCACCTTCATGTTAGTGTCCTGTGAATTCTAAGCTGGGACTGGGGTTCGTCAGTCACGCGAGGGGACAGCAGCTCTGGGTCACATTAAGCTATGCCACTCGCATACTGCGAGGCCTGGCCAGATCTCCAGCACGCAGGCGCCTACTCCCCAGGACAGAACCCGTGTGCCTCGCTTCAGGCCCAGTGAGAGGCCACGAATGCCTCTTAGGGTTCTGCTGCTGGGGGCGGGGCCGTCACCAGGAAGAGTGGGTCACGGACACAGATCCAACCTCCTGGCTCCTTGGCTTGGAGGCAGCAGGCTGAAGGCCAAACACTACCAGAGAAAGATTCTCTAGCTCAGCCCCACTACGTGTGACACACACTTGCTCACACACAGCTCAGCCCTGCCACACGTGTGCTTACACATAGCTCAGCCCCCGCCACACGTGACACACAGTGCTCACACATAGCTCAGCCCCGGCACGTGTGACACACACAGGCTCACACACAGCTCAGCCCCACCACATGTGACACACAGTGCTCACCCGCCACTCAGCCCTCATGTATGACACACACGTGCTCACCCCAGCTCAGCCCCGCCATGCATGACATGTGTGCTTACACACAGCTCAGCCCTGCCACACATGACACACACGTGCTCACACGCAGCTCAGCCCCACCATGTGTGACACAGTGCTCACCTGCAGCACAACCCCTACTGTGTGTGACACACACGTATTCACATGTGCCAACTCCCCCCCACTTCCAGCCACCCTGAAGAGGCCTCACCCATGGCCCAGCTCTGGTTCTCTGCCCTGTAAGGCACACACAGGAGTGTGCCCCTTGCACACTCCTAGTTGAAGCAGGATGACAGTGCTGGGACAGGACGGAGAGGAGCTGCCACCCACCACCCTCAGGGCCCGGATCTCAATTCCGTGTCCCAGGCTCTCGGCCAGCGTCCTTCTCTGCCTTCCCACAGTCATGAATGTCTAGCTGGAAGAGCCCCTGGGAGGGACAGGACCCCCACCAACGCCTCTTGGGGAAAGCTTCAAGGCCAGGCACTCACCGTCTCCCTGCAGGAAGATCAGGCCGATGACCATGCAGAGGGGGTGCACGTTAAACTGCAGGGCGCCCTCCCAGGCGATGCCGCCTCGGTACAGACCCAGCCACGCACCAGTCATGGCCACCACGGTCAGGCCCAGCAGCTGGGAGAGGGCCACGTAGCAAGGCAGTGCTCCGGGGGTGGAAGCCACACGAGCGCCGCTCTCCATGCTGAGCCGGCTGCTGCAGGAAAGGCACAGCTCAGAGAAGCAGCCTCTGAAGAAGCTTTCCTGGCCTCCTGACACCCCCTGGCTCCCTGCCAGAGCAGCCCTGGATGGCCTCTGAAGCCCCTTCCCACCGTGGTCTGGGCAGCGGTCTGAACTCAGGAGCAGCCGTATGGGAGGCACGGCTCTCCCCAGGGCCCGGCTCGGGACACGTGCAGTGAGGGTGCAAGCAGAGCCTCTGCGTGTCCCTGCGAGAGCGGGGCCACAGCTGCGCTTTCCGTCCGTGGTCCTCAGGCCCTGGCTTCTCTGGCTGGTTTTCAGGGAAATTGCAGGGAAGTAAGCAAAGCTCAGAGGCACAGGTCAATCACTTCTTTTCTAAGGGTCATCTGCAGTGAGAGCGGAGCCTCCCCTGCCACCACCACCACCACCACCACCACCCCCAACCCCTGTTTTCGCCCAGGGTGGAGACGAGGAAGAGCCAGCCATCTCCCAGAGCAGCCTGCGCTCCATTGAGAATAAGGCACCAAGCCGATCCGCTCTGCCTGACACAGGATGCGGGGCAGGAGCACAGCAGAGCAGGGTCTGTGCCTGCTCGCCCCCTCTGCTCCAAGCCCAGGGCAGCCAAGCCACACCCCTCCCCACTGCAGGCTGCCAAAGCTCAGGCACCCAGAAAGGTGGCCCGCAAGGAAAGGTGCCTGGGCCTGGAGCTCACACGCGTCCTCATACGTGTTAACTCGGGGTTCACTAGCAGAGGAAAGTGGGCAAGTCCCACAGCTGGGCCCAGCCCGGTCCTGCGAGTGCATTGGCCCCGCAGTGGTGCCTGGCCCGCCGCCACTGACGTGCACCATCCCGGGCACCGACAGCTTGTTTTGCTCACGGAGCTCATTAAACAGAGCAGTATTTGCACAGCGTTTGCGCTTGTTTGGAGTGCTAAGTCATCAGCCATGTCCAAATACACAGGAGGACGTGCCAGGGTCATAAGCAAACACACGCCATTTTATACAGGGACATGGACGTGCATGCGTGTCTGGGTCCACAGCAGTTCCTACATCCAATCCCCCGTGGACACTGGGGAACAGCGGTCTCTAAAGAGGTCTGAAATGAGCTTTGCTGGGAAAGCCCACAAGGAGTCCCCCACTTTCACACAGCTCCCCTGAGGTTCAGAGAGCCTGGGAGCAGCCCCACACCTGCACTGTGCCCGGTCCGTGGGCAGCTGGGACAGTAGAGGTGGGAGGGGGTGGGGGTGAACCTCAGCCTTGCCTCCTTAGCCTCTGCCTCGGGGGCCTGCACCAACCTGGGTGCCTCAGAAAGGCACCGCCACAGCCACCACCCCATGAGCACTGGCCGGTCGCCCTCGCTAGACAGCTTCCTACTGGCCTCTCTCAGCAGCGCTGGGTAGCAGCAGGGAGGGTGACAGCAGGGGTCACTGGGGCACTGAACAAGACTTCTGGTGACCCCTTAACACGGGCACACGGCTCCCCCTGCAGTGCTTGGGAGCTGGATTTCCAGCACCTCCCTCGTGGTGACCGGGCTGTCTGCTCCCAGCCCTCCCAGTTCTCCCGTCTGACCAGTGCTGGCAGCCCCACCATTAAAACTGGGGGAGTAAGGCCAACAGGGGCATAGTGCATGGGGCGCGGGACTCACACATGGCCGACCATAGTTCAAGTCCCAGACCTGGAGGCTTGAGACTCACACTAGGCACGTGGGCATGTGTACCCCGAACCCCAGCAGACTGGAGGACAAGTGACTGTGGTGTGGCCAGGCCTCTGGGGAGTGATTTCTCACTTTCTCTTTCTCTTTCTCTCTCTGCCTTTCCCCAGCAAACACATGAACCCCATGGCAAAAATCTTTAAAAACAAACAAACAAAAACCAGGGGAGGGCGGTAAAATACACACTCCCTTACAAAATGTGGGTACACAAAAAAATTCCATCAACATTTCATGTATATCCTTACATGTGTTCATATGTTTTTCTAGACATGTATGTACATTCTTTTTTTAATTTTTTTTTTAATTTTTGCCATAGGGCACATGCGCTGGCTACCATGTGGGAGCCCAGCAAGGTAACCATTATGCCACCTGCCGGCCCCGGCTATACCACTCTCCACCCTGCTTGGTAAACTCGGTGTCACGTGGCACTTCTCTTTTCATGAGCTGGCCGTGCACCTGGGACGTCGTCTGATAAACTCGCAGTCGCGTGGTCTGGCAGGTCCGCCTTTTACTAGTCCCCATCCCATGTTCGACCTGTCACTAGCTTTCAGTCTTCCCCCACACAAGCATGGTCATCTCTGCACACCTGCCTAAGTGGGCCCCGAGACAAGGGCTCAGTGCTTTTCCGGGTTCTTGGTGCTTTCTGTCAAACCACCTTCCAGAGCACATTCCTGACGGCTCTCCAGGGCACTGGCTTCCAGACGCCCGGGCTAACGAGGAATCCCTCTTCAGAACTCCTACCTCTGGTGGCTCTCAAATCCGGTGACAGTTCTGTCCTCACCCCAAATTCAAGCCCTATGCACCTGTCCTCTGGACCTGTCTACCAGACGGATGGGCACTTCCAGTTCAGGCCGTCCAGAGGCAAAGTCCTCCCACATCAAGTGCAACCAAGTCCTCTCCTGACCCCTCAGGCTGCTGGCAAGGTTGCCCCTCCCGAGGCCCAGGGCGCCTCTCCCACAGCTCTCCCCCAGGCCTCCAGCCATCTCTTCCCTCCTGGCTATCTTCACCGCCACATCCAGGTCAGGGCCTGCAGCTTCTCCTTCAACTTGCCTGACCCTCAGGGACAAACCCAGCACCCCACGTGGCATCCCCCGTCCGCAGGTGAAAGGCCAGCCCCGACCCAGATCCTAACTCAGTTTCTCTCTGCAGTCCCCTCTGTGCTCCCAGAAGGTCTCCCAGAGAGTCCCCGAACAGAGTATGCCCGTCCTTCCCTCCCTCTCAAACCCCTGCCTCCCACCTGCTACCTGCTCCTGCACCCCCCCCCACCTCTCCCTCTCCCCACCCTCCCCTCAGCCCCAGGCCCTGCGAGGGATGGCACGACCATCCCAGCGCCCAGGATCCCCCTCTCTATGTGCCCGAGCTCCCCTGCAGCTCCCTTACCGTGTGGGTTCTGTCTGATGCTACCTCTGGGGGCTCGCAGTCGTCCTATCCCCTCCTGGAAGGCTGGAGTGTCTCCGCCCTGCGGGGCGCCCCTGGCAGAGCAGACTCTACACGGGAAATGCGCCGCACTGAGCGCACTGAGCGGAGAGGCTGAGTGGCCGGACCTCTCCAGGTGGCGGCCTCCTGATTAGATTCATCCGCAGGGAGCCCGGGGCGCAGTGGGAATCTGATTAGCTCTAAATGAGGAAGACGGGGCACATCACCCGCGCTGGGCCTGCCACCTCCCCTTTACTGTGGGATGCAAAGGACAGACCTGGGGGCTTGGGACGCAGGGAGGGTGGCTCCTGCCACCGTCTGCTGTTCCCTTCCCTCCACTCTCGACTACGAACATGTGGCTTTAACGTCCTAGCCAATTCCCGTCCTGGCTTCCCTAGGAAGTCTGCACCGGACGCTGCTTGCGCCCCACCACGGCCGGCCAGACTGTGCCATGGGGCCCTCCGAGGATATCAGGAGTGAGACCACATTTACCGGGGTGGAGATGGAGGCTCAAGGCAGATGAGACACAAATGTCCAAACCAAGCCAAGCACCTGCCCTTGCGGCGTGGGGTGCCACAGCTGTTCAGAGCAGATGTGGTCCTGCCCTCGGTATGCAGACCCAGATTTTAAAGGAAAGGGTGGGCGCCAGCAGGTGGTGGTGGTGAAGGCACCAGACTCCCACATGGCTGACTGGTTCGAGTTCTAGACCTAGTGGCTCTCTCTGGTGAGCATGCATGCCCTATAGCAAACTTAAAAACAAATATAATTATTTTAAAAAAATAAACTGTGGGAGAAATTCAAGCCTGACTTCCAAGTACGCCTTCCACTGCACACACGGCAGAGGGCACGCCTGCTGTGGCACGCAGGCGACCCCTCCCCTCTGGGTCCTGCCTTTGCACCCTCCAAGCCCGGTCCAGGTGGCCACTGTCACACTTCCCCAGCACTGGAGCCAGTCAAAGCCCTGAACCAGTGCTGGGGGTGGAAGAAGGTGCTTTGATCAAGGCTCCAAACCAGTCCCTCCACCCTCCAACCCTGGCACCTCACAATGGTGCGTGCCCACAGGCACTTCTGGGAGAAAGGCAGCCCAGTGAGCAGGGGTGGGTAGAAAAGGCGAGTGGCTTCCTTTTTCTTTCTTTGCTTTAGTTTGTTATAAGCTCATGCACTCACCGGAGAGAGACAGAGAAAGCGAGAAAGCGAGAAAGTACTCCCCAGTGGGTGCGGCCATGCCACAACCTGGTCTCCTCCATCCTCCCTCCTTTTGTGCCTGCTGTGTTTTCAAGCTGCCAAGTCCAGGACTTGACCCTCACGGTCGGCCATGAGGGATCCAGCCATGGTAACCCTCGCACCACCAGCTGGCCCTCAGAAGCTTCTTTCAGCTCCCTCGGAAGACAGCTCTCCTGGCCCACACAGCCTGGTAACCGAGACAACCAGGCCCCCAAGAAAGTCAACCCTGGAGGCCCTCTCACAGTTGAAGGCACTGCTGGGAAGTCGTAAGTGTGAGGGGTGACAGCACCCCAGTCACTCACGCCAAGACCTTCCCACCTCAGCATGTGTGGCCCCTCACTCTCCTGCCTCTGTGAGAGCACAGGATGGGGTGACAGATCTCTGGCAGCTTCTGGAACCTTGGGCTGTGTCAGTCACTCCCCCACCCCCGCGACCCACCTGCAGTCCGACTCCACGTAATGCAATCAAACAGGGACAGCAGCCGCCTCGGGCTTGACGTGAGCCGGGCCTCGCTGTCCTTCCCCGGGCACACTGAGTTTTATTAATAGGCAGGCAGGCCTAATTTCATTACTGGGGACCAGACGCCACACACATGTACAGCCTGGGGGCGGGAGGGCAGGGGCGCAGGAAGCCTGGCCCGCTCAGCCCTCTTATCAGCCCAGGGTTCTAACTAAGTTAGAAAAGGCTGTGGGGGCGAGCGCTCCTCTCGGTGGGTGAGGGGAGAGACGGCTCCGCTGTCCTAGGAGTCCGAAACGTGATGACAGAGAAGGCCAGGCCAGGCAGGGCCATCTGACAGGACACTGTCTTGCCACCCACACCCAAGTAGCCCCAGGAAGGAAGCAGAGGTTGAGTCGTACCCCGGGCCCACTTCTCTGTTAGGAGCTAGGGCCTTGGGGCCAGGGCTCCTGACACCCTCGTCTCTGTCAGCAGCAGAGAACGGGCCAGCCCGTGGCTGCTGGTTAAGGAGGCTGGACCCCACACGGCCCACTCACGGTTTGAGTCCTTGCACGAGAAACATGCTGGGGTTGGCGGCATGGCCACACTCGTAGGGTGCTTTCTCCCTCGCCCCCTCTCTCTCTGTCTCTTTGGTAAGCACACATACCCACTGGAAGAAAAATTTTTTTGCTATAGGGCACGCGAGCTCCCCAGAAAGACAGAGACAGACAGAAATAAATAAATAATCTTTCTTTTTCGAAAGAAGTATGTGTGAAAATAAAATAATAAAATATGTTTAGAAGAGTATGAGTGGTCGCACAAGGTGATGTTTGTTTTCTTGCAAATTCTCTCAGGAGCATTGGGTAAGCAAGAGAAGTTCCACTTCTTTTCTTTCTCCTTTTTTTTTTGGCAGGGTGGTGGGGGGAGGTTTTTGCTATAGGGCTCATGCACTCACCAGAAAGACAGAGACAGACAGAGAGACAGAAAGC